TAAACTGTCTTATATTAATATTAACAATAGTTTCAACAAACCTCTCATTAAATGCATAGGTATGTCAGATAGAAAAATTATTTAAAATATTACACAAATTGTATGAAATGAAACAACTTTATTTTATCTTTGAGAATAATTATACCATTTTATATACACAGTAATATACATATATACAACTGAATTTTTCCATTATTTGGTAAAACTCATTAATAAATACATATCTTTCTTTCTCACTGTCACTTATTACAATTGTTTAAGAATCGTAAGGAAAATATTTTTTAAATTTCGCGCTGTCCAATTGAAAATTCAGTTGTCAATTGTGTGTTTTGTGTTAGTATATACATGCTCCGCCAGTCATCTTTTCGTATCGAGATTACAAGTATACGTACAGTATACGCAACGGATAGCTAAAGATATAAATTTATATACGACTAACGGTTTGAATTTTATTTAACTTGTGAACCTAATTTTTAATTTTCTATTCACATAAAAAGTTAGCTGTTTCACTGAATTACAGCTTTGGAAATTTCTTAAAAATGGATAGTTCGTTGCCGCATATTATAGAAAGCGCGGATTGTGGTGGTTCAACAAAACCGAAAGACAGGTTAATCAGTCTTCTTGATCAGATTGAAGTACATGTAGAACAACTAAGGAAAGATGCCTGGAAACTCGAAGAAGAAAGAGATACACTCCTGACTACCTTAGATACCCTTAAAAACAATGAAATACTGAGCGGATTAGAAGAAAGTAAGTGTTTTTCTCACTTATTCTAAGAATGCAAGGTCAGCTCTAATGTGTCTAGAAACATCGTTAACAAGAACTTTAATATTTGTAGACCCTTTTTTAAAAATATTATTAAATGATATTTTAATTTTTATCATAATATCAAATGTTTGTGTTTATTATTGTATAGTTTTATATTACTAACTTTTACACATACAATTGTTTTTATTTTATTGTACATAACCTATGTAAGATGATTCATTTCAAGATTATTTTTAATAGCTGACAGAGATGATGTACTAAAGTATGCAGAAAGATTATCTATGCGATGTTTAACAGTTGATGTTTTGGTCAAAATACAACGTGATCAAATTCAAGAGGAAGCATTGCATCAGGTATATGTTACTAATTTTTTTATATTAGTACTGTTTAAACATTAAGTACAGTTTGAAGAATCACATTGGTTCATTTAGGTAAATGGTTTAATTGATGGTTTAATTGTTGGTCTTCGTGAAGATCCAATTGGAACACGGCAACGTTGTGCATCTTTTATGAGTGCCTGTAGTTCACAAGGTTTGGGTACCTCTGATAAAAATTTTGAAACTGTTATTCTTGGATGCACTATAGATGATCAAAAGCAGATAAAAAAACGACTGCAAGGATTATTGGATTATATTGACAAAATGCACACCATACAATTGCTGTGAAGCTTCATTTGGGATAATTGATTTTAAGAGAAAACAGATAAGTTACTCTTCCATGAGTAATTAATCTATCTTTAGTTGTACTAAAGGAGATTTGAAAAAAATAAAAGCTAATTAAAGCAGGGTGCTTGATAATTCAGTGATGATGTTTATAATAAATGTATAGAAAGCATTACTTATGTAATATAAGTTATTTTCTCTATACATGTACTGTTTTTATGCCTTGCCATTTGTGCAAGTAAGCTTCTATGCACTTTATATTTGTATTTGCGCATTGAATATAGTAGGAAGTAATTATAAACTTACCATAACAAATCTCCTTGTATTAGAATTTTGTGATATTTGATCTTTGTGTGGATATTATACATAGTGACTGCTGGTTAGTCATTTTGAGATGCCTATAGTGTAATAATTTATCATTATTTCAACTACTTAAAATTTGCAGTGCTTCCTACTATTGAAGACACTGTTAAAAAATGTTAAAAGGGACTACATGTAATGTAGTCTTCTAATTACGTTGAAAACATAGCTTTGAACTCTTCGTATTTTAAATACTACTAAAAATTGTAATATAACTGCATCTAAGTATTTTAGATGGATTTATCATATTTAGTGCAGAATTTATAATATTCCGTATATTATACTTATTATGAAATGAATAAGGATTCTATGTACAGTCTGGTATAATTTCCAAAAGTTATTTAATTTGTATAAGAACTAATTATTTTTTTATTTTATATTTACGTAATCACTTTATTGTTATGAAGATAATTAATATTTATGATAGCTTACTGCCAGGCTGCTTTAGTCATATAATCTTTATTTACAGTTTTAAATAGATTTAATTACAATATTCTTTATGTCTGATACATCCTTTCAGTTTTAATATAAGCTTAAAGTTCTAAATCACTGTACAGTTTATAATAAAAATATTTGTGTAAGGATTTCATTTCTTCTAATACTTATTATTTTTTTTTATGAAATTAATAGAAGT